ATTAGTTTAACAACCAAACTGGACCTGTACAGGATGCTAATTATTAGTTACAATATTAATCAAGTTTACAATGTTAAATATCTTTATACGTCAGCCACCCACCTGCTCTGTTTCAGTGGAGAGAAATGTTTCATCTCAGAGTTATATACATCACCGGGGGGGGGAGGCTTTGTTGCTGTCCTATTCTTCTTACATAACCTGCCCTCTGTGCTGCCAGACAGTGTGACTGTCTGCTGCCAGTCAGAGCTGTGGAAAATGATCACAGTGCTTATGTGTCGCCGGAGTGTGTGAGTGAGTGCACTTCAGCTGAAGTTTTCTTTTTATTCAAGGACAGAACTCTGTCATCTTCGTAAATGCAGAGAAGGAGGTTGATTAGCCAGTACGCTAATCATCACTGAGCACGCATGCAGGCACACATTAGTTCTGCGGGGTCACGGTTGAAGTGGGTGTTTGTAGTAGATGTTTTACTCCTCTTGGTTCATACAGAAACCACGAGCACCCTCTGAAACATGACGAGCCTCTTTAATCCAACAATCTGATCACATTCGAGATAGTTTGCTAACAGACAGACAGTGTTGGCGCTGAAGAGTTAATACCAAACTTTTAAGTAAAGCTGTCGTGTAATGTGTAGTGCTCAAAGTATAGGTTGAAAATTCATCTCGGCTACTACCACACTAAATCTTATCTAAATATGTGTATAACTGACTGAGTTATAACCATTTTTTATTGTGTAAAAGTAATTGGCTGTGGCTGCCATCTTTAATAGATTTGGATGTAAAAGTTATCGAGTTGTATTTGAACATCCAGTGATACCTTCCTGAGAGCATGGGATATTTTGCTAACATGACAAGCAAGCCATTATGGCCTCTTTGTCTTTGGACGTGGACAATAATTATTTTGTCAAACTGATTGTTTAACTTTATTTAATGTCTTTTGATTAGGTTGGAGCTAATGTAGCCTAACTTTAGGCAGAGCTTTAATTTAGGGATGTCATGAATAAATTTGATATTAATCATAATCCAAGTTGAAGTGTTGCATCATTTTCAGCCCCCTTTTTGGCATCTGCATTTGGTATCAGGCCAAACTGACCAATTCCATGCAGAATAATGTAATAGTTTAATTCCACAGCAGAGAAAGCTGTGTAGTCTCTGTAAGTAGGTCCAGGGAAAAAAATTATCGGTAATGGTATTGATTATCGGCCCAATAAGTTTTAACATATCGGGATATCTGCCAAAAATCCAATATCGTGCATCTCTACTTAAATTACGTTTCGTTTCATTTTTATTTCCAAGACAGAAATGAAGCAGATTTGCTGCTTTTACATGAATTTTTATGCAAATTCAGATATTTTAGCATTTTATCAAACTTGTATTTGAAATGTACTTGTTTTCTAAGTGATCAAGATGTTTTTACTCGATACTTTATAAGTTGGGTGTTTTTTTAACAACAGAGTCTTATCAATTGTCATCTGACTATTTTAATAGCTGAGAACTAAACAAATTGTAGATCTGCCTTAAAATATATTTAACAAACCAAATGTTGGAGGAAAAAAAAATCCCTCTATGGTTTGTAGTTAATAATGAAAGCATTCAGCCTAAGGGCACAAAGGTTATTTTAAAGATGCAGACAACAAAGCTGGCTGAAAAAAATAAAGAATAAAAGGGAGTGGCTGCCCTTCTTACTGTCAAACTCACGTTATTTGCACCATTATAAATCCCCCAAACTATGCAAATGCATGCACGCTCGAATGTGTGCACAGTTCCACAGTCAAAGGCAGTCATCTGTGAATGTGTGCAGGCTCAGCAAAGTCCCTGAGACTGGAGAGCAAGAAAAAGAAAAATGCCATTTAGCTTCTCAACGAGTTTTTGTTTGGCCTGTTTCTGAATTTGAGCATTTCACTGGTATGGATAGAAGAACAGAGACAAACAGAGGGTTGTGGTGAGGAAGATTAGCTCACAGAAAGAAGGAACCAGTGGAGTGGGAGGGTTGGAGGAGGAGACAGAAGGTGAAAACTAACCCATGATCAGGAGGAAAGCACTGCTGTGGAGGAAGAGCTGAATAGAAAAAGTGACCAAGAAGCTAAAAGAAAGAATATACTTACTATATACAGTGAAGATTATGAAGCACCTAGCTGAAGAAATTCAAGCATCTGTGTTTAACACTAAAGCTCATAAATATACCTGTTATGAGTTTATTTGGAGAAATAAACACATTTGTAGATAGAAGATGTTTAGCGTAGCATCATGATCGTGTTTGCTTGTTGGAAACTCGGTGATACCATAAATATTTAAGACCATTTTATACATTAATGTGAGCCTTTCAAGGTCTGTTTTTAACATGCCTCTGTCATAAAACAATAGTTTTCTAATGTTTAATTTGTTCATTTGTAGTTTGAAAGTGTGTTTTAATCAATAGTGTGAAGGGGAGCTTCTCTCTTTTATCACCGTGCACGGGTTGGTGAAATGTTTTATTTAAGACGTCAACGATCTTCAAGAATAATGAGGTAAAACCTTTGTTTTAAAATAACACTGGACTAGACATAAATTACCGAAAGAAAATTATTTCTTTAAGCTGAAAAGAGGACAAGGGGTGGGAAAGTACTTCCCTGGCAGAGCTACTACATCACAGTGAAATATGACTGTGAGTGTTGTGTCTTTGCCGGGACTCTTTCTTCCCTAACATAAAAGATTTTTCTTACCATTTCAAATATTTTATATATATATATATATATATATATATATATATATATATATATATATATATATATATATATGAATCCTCCAAATGCATTGCAAATATTTTATATCACAGATTCAGGATGAAGTACTGACAAGATGAAACAAAAACAAATACAAAAAGAAAATAGAAAGGTACTGCATGAAATAGAAACTACCAAAGCAAATAGGGTAGAAAAGAAAAGAAAAGGCTTAAAGAAGTCTGATTTTAGAGGGTAGAGTAGGTGAGCTGTTGCTAAAGAGCAATATCAGGCATGGATGCTTTTTAAGACGCAGAGATTGCATGAATCAGAGCTGCAATAAGTAAAATGATGTCCGTTCCCTCCACAGACGCTTTAAGTCTTTGGAGATATGAATATCAAAGTCTGTCTTAAGCCTGGGGTTTAAGCCAGGCTTTACGATGACACACATCTGTCATTTTAGTTGTCCGCACTCCATTTGTTGTTGCATTAGATAAAAAGCTCTCTGCAGATTTGTCCTCGTGTGGAGTCTTTGTAATAATGCTACCAGTTTGTCTCAGTTTTGTTCCTATGGTTTGTTTAAAATGAACCACAATAAACTCAGTTGTTTTTTTTCCCACTCTGTAAGGTTCACAACTCTCTGCACTGAACAGTTGGTTTCTTTAGATGATATTCGGTCTGGTTGGTACCATCTCTGTAAAAACTGCAGAATCCTGAGATCAGAATAGCTCAAGTCAGCTAGTTTTGTTTTTGTCTTTTTACACCGTTTCGCTTCTTTTTGTGTACAGCATTTGAGTCAAATATGGTTGTTTTAAAAGGTTTTAAACAGTTTCAAATGTTTTTGACATGAAAGTGTCCTCTTTACATGTGGTGCTAAATGTGACATGTGGAAATCTGAGTTTATTTATTGTCATGTGTAAGAAATGCCAGTGTCACACAGTTCAATTAAATGCATATTTTATGCATCTTCCTGTAACTCATATCATGAAAGAGAGAAAAAGTAAATGGGTATAATAGAGTAAACAATATACTAAAATGGAATAGAAACTGTCATATGGTACTAGACTCTTTGTGTGTTTGCACTGAGAAATTTAAATAATAAAATGCCTAGATGTTGAACTTGTGCCTAAAAGTACAGTAGTAGTCCCTCGTTTATCGTGGGGATATATAAATGCAGACCTGCGATAAGTGAAAAACTGCAAAGTATGAATAGTACTGCAAGTAGTAAGTAGTAGTTTATTTTATTATATATACATGTAAATATTAATATGCCGACATATATATATATATAT